CATTAGTGGTTGGGGCCCCAGCTGAGTGGTTGGGGTCCCCAGTTGAGTGGTTGGGGCCCCCGCTGAGTGGTTGGGGCCCCCCATTAGTGGTTGGGCCCCCCGCTGAGTGGTTGGGGTTCCCCCACTGAGTGGTTGGGGCCCCAGCTCAGTGGTGGGGTCCCCAGTTAAGTGGTTGGGGCCCCTGCTGAGTGGTTGGGGTCCCTCGCTGAGTGATGGGTCCCCAGCTCAGTAGTTGGGCCCTCCCCATTGACCCTGTGCCCACCGCTGACCTTGCGTACTACACAGCCTGCTGTGTGCCGAGGGCAAGCAGAGGGCGGGACAGACGCAGAGCGGGAGCTGGAGACGGCGGCAGGAGCATCTGGGCGCCGCCAGCTTGTGGCTTGTGGCTGAGCGACAGGCAGAACTGGGCTCTGCAGTTCTGCCCAGACCCGGGTCCCTGCGGTTGGTGCCACGTGACCGCCTGGGCGCCCCTTGCCGAGTGACTCCGCCAGACTTACACAGCCCTCAGCCTTCAGAAAATGATAGTGGTGATGATGATGTTAAACATGGTGACGGAACATGAGTGAAACAGAAATAGTGATCGTGACCAGGAGCTCACAGGCGTGCAGACACGAGCCCTCAGCTTTGCACTTATCGTGATGTGGAAAAGTTTAGTCCTCAGGGTGGTCTCATGGCGCAGGGCCCCTGGTGACCCCATTTCTCAGATGGGCTAGCTGAGAGCCCAAGAGGGCCACTGGGCTGGCCCAAGGCGTGGCCGGCAGTGCTGGCGGGACCTGAGGTTGAACCACATCCCTCTGGCCCCACAGCCCGGGCACCTCCCCCGAGACCCCATGCCTGGCAGTGACCCCGAAGTGTCTCCCTGTCTGTCCAAGGAGAAGCTTCAAACCACCTGATTGGCTGAGCCTCTAGTGCTTATTGTGCTGTTCCACGTACCGGGGGCCTGCAGCTGAAAGTGGCTACTTTAAGGAACAGATGTGGCATAAAAACCTGTTCACCTATTAGCCAGATTCAGACTTGATCTCTTTGCATCTCCAAATTTGTAACATGACTGCCTGTTTTACTCTACTTCTCCCTTTAAAACCTCTTGCAAGGTCAGCCAAGATTCATTAGTGAACGCTGGGAAAACCACCTAAACAACTAAAACAAATATTATTTATAGTGT